GTGATACTCTAGTTAAATAGTTACCTATAATATTTTTGGCATGCACATTTCGTAATCTATATATATATATAAATGAATTGCTGTTCGTTAGTCTCGCTAAAACTCGAAAGCGTCTGGACCGATTTGGCTAATTTTGGTCTTGAATTATTTGTGGAAGTCCAGAGAAGGTTTAAAAGGTAAATAAATATGAAAATGCGTCGGACGGATTCCTTTTGTTTGTTTCAAATTTATTTTATACAAAAGTTTAGGTATTTTATTTATCGATTGAGGCACTACGAAGTCGCCTGGTCAGCTAGTTTTTAAATAAAAATAACTCTCAATCAAATATACACTAAAGTTTAAAAAGTATTAGTTAAACCTTTTTTTAATTTAGTTACCTTTTTTAAGTTCGTCACCTCCAAAGTACTTAGTTTGAGTGACGCTGGCCAAGGCCCCTAGATATTTAAAAGCGATCCGCAGCTACCCTAATAATGGCGCTAAACGACGCTAGTGATTAATGGACAATATGGCTCAAAGCTGTGTGCAATTTCTACGGCTGTGTTCGTTTGATGCGCACACTACTTACCGCTAATAGATTTTACGTTGTTGCTTTCTTATGTTTCGAGAAGGCGGTGGGTGTGTTCGATTTACACTAACGATGTATGATGAAGATCTATTACTAAATGTATTAGTAAACTAGGGAACCGAGGTAATTTATTGAACGTTTATGAGTATTACTTAAATTAATGAAAAGATCGACGTCAAACCTATAATGGGTGTAGAGAAAAAATGTATTCATTGCTTTTTGGTATTATTATTATTATTATTTTTTATTGCTTAGATGTGTGGGCGAGCTCACAGCCCACCTGGTGTTAAGTGGTTACTGGCAGCCCATAGACATCTACGACGTAAATGCGCCTTGAGATATAAGTTCTAAGGTCTCAGTATAGTTACAACGGCTGCCCCACTCTTAAAACCGAAACGCATTATGGCTTCACGGCAGAAATAGGCGGGGTGGTGGTACCTACCCGCGCGGACTCACAAGAGGTCCTACCACCAGTAATTACGCAAATTAAAATTTGCGGGTTTGATTTTTATTACACGATATTATTCCTCCACCGTGGAACTCAATCGAGAACATTTGTTGAGTACGTATTTAATTAAAAAAAATTGTACCCGCCTGGGATTCGAACACCAGTGCATCGCTCAACACCAATGCATCGGACGTCTTATCCTTTAGGCCATAACGTCTTCAAATTACTTCGATGTATAAGTACAGATTTGCAGTACTCGTCGCCTTGACTGACGTGACTGGCTTTATTTAATGTCTATGGGCAATAGTGACTGATTATAATCAAAGAGGCTATAAGGCTTAAAGAGTCAAAAAAAATGCTCATTTTCCTAAACGTATTCGGCAACATTGTGACACTAGTGCCGCTGATTGCCATTTCTATTTTAGGGTGGACTTTTTTTGGCGGCACAAGTACTACCCTGTCTGAATGTGGTGTTCGATAAATTTGCGGGCCCATGCGAGCGCCACCATCTGCGTAATGGTTAAATGAGTTCGTTTTAAATAACTCGGTGTATTGCTGGACTCTCTTTGTAAATTACGTGTGGATTTGCAAAGTCATTCGGCTGATTTAGAGGATTGGTTTCTTTCAAACTTTTAGGGGATTGTTTAGCAGTGGGCCATTTCAGATTACATTAGAGTTACTCTGATGTTCAGCGGTTGTAGTACAAAATATCTTAAATCTACAGAAAAAATCATTAGATAATCAAATATATCTCTTTGATTATGTGCCTCCAATCCACACGGTAGTAGCTTGATGGTTTTTGTAGGTATAAATGATAATGATATTTTAAATTATTCATTTAGGTTTGTTTCGTATATAGGTTAGTTTTGGTTGTATGAAAAACGTATGAAATACGTATTTACTACTTAATGTTTTATTTAGGTGTTAATATTCGGAATTCTTCTGTGAATTCGAGAGATGAATTTAAAATCATAATTTTATCAAACCTATTGGGAAAACTGAGGTTTTGTGTTTTGATTTCATTTTGATTTTTAAGTTCAAACACAGTGTTTTCAATCTAAACTAATTAATTTGCTTGTAATGTAAAACATTTGAAAAGTTAACGTAGTATTATAATTTCCAAAATTCATTACACGAGTGTTTTTATTTCATACCGGAAGGGCTTCATAAAATATGAAAAATTTCGTTGGAACATTTACGGGTCGATCCCGAACCAATATTTCAATCCACTTCATGATTGCTACTTCAATGATGAACTCAATTTCTAAAGGAATACGGAACTCTTAACGCTGGATCCAAGTCTCGATAGACCAGTCTTATAGACGTATCAACTACGTTATAGAATAAATAATATACTTAGAAGTGCTCCGTTATTGATTGGTTTTTAAATGTACTTTCTTGATTAGAAAAACTTCAGAAATATTTTCCAACCTTGCCCCTTTTTTAGTTTTTTTTTATCGCAACGATATATGTACGAGGCCGTGAGGTCCCACCCGGTGTTAAGTGGTCACCGGAACCTTTAGACATCAACCACATTAATGCTGCCACTCACCTTAAAACATGATTTCTCAGTCTCAGTTTTGATAGTACAACAGTTGCCGAACCATTCAAATCGAAACTCATTAGTGCAGCAGGTCAGAAATAGGCAGGGTGGTGGTACCTACCAGCTCACAGTGTGCCTTACCACCAGTAAAGTACCAGATTTTTTGATTTTACGAATAAATAAATAAAAAATCCAATCTATTTGTTTTTCCATTTTCTCAATTTAGCTAAGCCTGCTTCTATATTTTATGATGTCTTAAAAAATTAAAACTCCACAAAAAAGTTGGATACTTAGCTATTCTATGCCGTTTCTATTCTTAGAACCGTTCATGTTCAAGGAAGTTCCGACGTCACCGGGAGATCCGGTCGCCGACACGGGTCCGGTAAATCAATCCGCCGCGAATGTACTGCCCTACATTTCGGAAGGCACACGGTAATCCGGCGCGCCATACAAACAAGGGATCTTCCGAAATTGAGGTGTATCTCATATTTCGTATTTACTTTGGCATTAGTGTAAATACTTATTTCCTAGGGGAAGTGTGTGTAAGTTGAGCCAAAAAAGAAAATGTGTTTGCGTTGCTATTTTTTTTAGTTTTCTGTTTCTTGTTAATAGTTCTGGACTTGGAGCTATCATATTTTAATTTAATACAAACTCTATTTTCTTAATTCCGCATAAATAAGACTTAGTACAAGGTAAGTACTAAAAATGTGTGCCAGCTTAGTTTAATGTTTATTACGCAGACCAAAGTTTTGCTTAAATGTAAGGTTAGTCAAAATTATTCTGCAAATATTAGCAAGCGCACATATTCGGTTATTAATTAATTTTTGAAATGTTTTAACAGTAACAACAATGAGAATTTGATGAGATCCGCAAGAAAATTCGCTCTTGAGATCCGCAAGAAAATTCAATTGTAATAGAATTTTGTTCTACGACTCAGAATGCTTTACGGTAGAAATAAGCAAGTGGTACCCACTGGTGTGGGCTTGAAAACGTCTTTCCATTAGTAAAGGGTTACGGTAGAAAGGGTTACTGGTGGTAGGACCTATTGTGAGTCCGTGCGGGTAGGTACCACCCCCCTGCCTATTTTGCCGTGAAGCAGTAATGCGTTTCGGTTTGAAGGGCGGGGTAGCCGTTGTAACTATACTGAGATCTTAGAACTTATATCTCAAGGTGGGTGGCGCATTTACGTTGTAGATGTCTATGGGCTCCAGTAACCACTAAACACCAGGTGGGCTGTGAGCTCGTCCACCCACCAAAGCAATAAAAAAAAAGTGTTTGAAAGAGAAGGCTAGAGGAAAATTATGTTAATAGATGTGAAGAAAATGTTGTAATAGTTGGACATGACCCGGGGTGCCCGGGGGGTTTTCTCATCCCCTGAAGTACCAGTCAGCGAAATTAAATACGATTTTAGGAATTTCTGATCTGACACTCAATAATCAACCGGACAACAAAAACAAAATATCAAAAACTTATTATCGATTTTAATTAAATTAAAACAACGAAAAGATTGTACTGTAAAACTGATACCATAGAACTCATATACTCGATGTGGATGGCGGCATTTGCGTTGTAGATGTCTATGGGCTCCGGTTACCACTTAACACCAGATAGGCTAGTCCAACCATTTAAGCTATTAAAAATTGAAATAAAATAATTGGAAAATGCATGTATTCAGGTTTTTTTTTCAAATCATAAATAACAAAACCACAAAGAATATTAAATACATAAAATGAGTATAAATGCTCGGAAGCAATGTCATTATGATCGAATTCAGACATTGAGCGAATCCTAGTCTATGGAATAATGTCCACCAGTCGTCATATAACAACTTGGCTTTGGTGAGAAAACTCCTTCGAATCTCCATAACAAATGATGATATTACATTCGACTTCATGAGAGATCGTGAGACATTCTACATGTATTATTCATGTGTATCTTGTATTGGAATCACATAAATTTGTCCTTGTATGATTGATATCTTGAGCGCGGTAGAGCTTATATGTATTTCACAGTCAGTTGGAGACTCGATAAATTAGTAAAATGTCTTTACAAATTTTCATTCTAATTCGCTTTGTTTGTTGGGCTTTTATGTTTTTAATGTTGTAAATGGGCAGATTAACCTACAGCCTCCCTGGTTGTTAATGGTAAATACTCAAGTAAATTGTAACACCGATTTATTATATATTGATCTGCTGAAATAAGAAGGGTGGTGTAACGGTACAAGATAATTTATAAATACTGTGGATTTGATTTTATCCCAGGATGGTTATTATGTACATTGATTATTCATTAATGCATTATTTCTTAATGTTTCTTCACAAAAATTGGCACCTATTACATTGATACGTATACACAGGGGCGTCTTACCAATTCCATTACTGACGTTATAAAAGTGGATACGTTATTTTGAAATATATGAAAGTTGTTGAATATGATGAACTAACCTGTATATAGGTTTTCCACCCGTGGCTTTTCCTGCTCTGAACCAGAGCACCATGTAGACGCGATCTTCAATAGCGTCTGGTGTGACGTCACAGGGCAGGGAGGCAGTGCGCCCCAACACCGCGTCAACGTCGACTGTCGACACTGAAACAAATAAAAAAAAAATCAAAAGTTATTATGCACCTGTCCACGATTCCGACAGTCTATGAAAGGTCTCCGAAAAACCTTGTTCGGAATTGGAAAATGAAAATACTTTCCGGTTAAAGACTTCGTTTAGCGTATTTATTTTTTGTGATGGGATTTTAGAAACGTTTTGATGTTCCGCGATATGAGTAAAAGTAAGCCTTTTGTGCAAAGAGAACGCAAAATTGTTTATTGGAAGCCTAAAATTGTTGGTGCATTTTGAAAATAAATTTGTAGTTATATAGAATACGGTTTCGGTTAGAAGAGGTTTATTTTGATAAGAATTAGTATTTTATTGAAAGCGTTCATAATGCACTAAGCCAATCATTCATTCAAAAAGTTTCTATTTATGTATTTTATTTTATTTTTATTTTATTTCACTAAATGATCGCCGGTAGTCTAACGGCTACGCTCGGTAGAGTAAGTGAGCTCACGGGCTCAACCAGAAAGAATTGCTAACACTAGCCCTAGCAAGAGCAGTGCTTCACTGAATCTACCACCGGATCTAAATCGCGATCCACTAAGAAGATCTGGTGAGAAACTCAGTGAATTGTGTCTATGGGCTAGGTTGCACGTCGAACTCTTGCACTCGACGAGTTCGACGAGAATGGTGACCGGTGCTTGGAGAGCTTAAAAGCACTGACGGTGGATCGGATAAGACATGCTTTTGGCGACGCCAGCTTTGCAGTGTTTCGTTGTCTGGGCCGGAGATATAGTTGGAGGCGACCACGATAAGACGGTAATCTTAACGCGCCGCTTTTTCGAAGAAATCTATAGTCAAAGCGAAGTCGTTTATCTGTTCTATCTATATATATATATAAATGAATTGCTGTTTGTTAGTCTTGCTAAAACTCGAAAACGGCTGGACCGATTTGGCTAATTTTGCTCTTGAATTATTTGTGGAAGTCCAGAGAAGGTTTAAAATGTAGATAAATATGAAAATGCTCGGAATTAAATAAAAATAACAATTTTGTTTTTCCTTTGATGTGTCCCTCGTCGGACAGATTCCTTTTGTTTGTTTTAATTTAACTTTATACAAAAGCTTAGGTCTTTTATTTATCGATTGAGGCAATACGAAGTCTGCCGGGTCAGCTAGTACTTACTAAAGAAGCAAATTTTGAAACTTTGATCGGAGTCTCAATAATACGCACACGTAGCTGACAAAGTGCGTCTCGTCACAATCGCAGAAAAAAGGAATACGTAAGTGAATTTCATTGTTATTCTGTACTTACATTGTTATGATTCCTTGCCTCCTTTTCCGAGGCGATAAAGAGACCATGAATATAAATAGACGTAATATTAAAACGTACCATTTTCACACGGCACGACATAATCCTCTTTTCTTTAAGGAAAAAAAAAAAAACTGTCACCGTTCCCGTCTCGAGTAATGTCTACCATCAGTCATACTTAGAAGGTATTTTCAATTTACTGGCTGTGAAGACTACCACTAATAATGACGGATTACCGGGCTTACGCAACTAGCCAATATATCAATTTAGTGTAAGGCTCTCCTCGGTATTGTGTGGCGACAATATTATGTTAGATTATGTAAGAATTTTTACGTGACCCTCAACAATTCGCGTATAAAGCGCATGAATTTTGCCTTGAACGTTCCGAAGGTTTATGGATACTTATATGGCAAAGTATAAAAAATATATACACATAATCGTACGCATCTGGGTTCATGTTCGTTTTGACAGAGTTTATGAACTATGAACGAAATTTTCATTCGAGTCCTGCTAAATAGGTCGTGTTTGCTCTGAAGTCAGAGTACATAAGCCAAATGTAAGTCATTTTGTTTCTAGTTCGCTAGCATACATTTTATTAAAAATCTTTCATACTGAAAGTTTCCTCGCTAAAACATTTTAATCTTAAGATTAAATCTCATTTTAAATAGGCAAGAGAGGAAATTCTACATTAATTCTGAGCTAACATAGTTGTTAACTAACAGTTAATATAAACATAAGTTAATATTGCTTATCTTAGCCCAAGCTTGTACAAGAAAAACACAATAATTCCTTGACAACCAAAGTCGAACTGTCTCCATCATTGTGGTAAATGGTAATCAAAAATGTACAAGCAGATAAAACGATAATAAAAATTTAACGATAAATAATAATAGAAACGAAAAAAATTGTGTTCACTGACAGACACAGACACAGACAGCTTTTGGAGGTCTTCGATTAGAATATTTTATATTCAATAAAACTAACTATCAATCATCGAATTCTGTGGTTGTGTGGCTAAGCGTCTTCATTCAAGACACGTTGCGACCTTAGAAACTAAGGCCGGGCAAATGCAGTAAAATTAATAACGAAATCAAACTTGTGTATAAAAGAAAGTTTTTTTTCCTTCCCTTAAAGACCACTGAGTTTCTCGCCAAATCTTCTCACTTCTCAGTGGGTCGCGTTTCCAATTCGGTGGTAGATTCTGCGAAGTACGACTCTTGCTAGGGTTCGTGTTAGCTTTGAGCCCCGTGTGCTCACCTATTCGGCCGGTGACGCTGATATGGTCTCTCAAGACCATCAGCTAAGGTAGGATTAAAAAAATATCCCTTAATTTGTACTAGATCCATGATTACTTGTACGAGTGTTCGCACAATTATAGAAGTTTAACTAAAACCACAATCCCTCAATTTAGGTTCAATTTGAAAACAGAAAAGAAAGAAAATCGAACAGTTATAAAAAAAGAAAATTGGTTGATAAATAGAGAAGAAAATTGTACTTAAATGTTGTGCCTTTGCCTGTTTATATACATACAAAGGCTGGTTTTATTCTATTATCACAATATTCCTTTGTCGAGGACACAGCTAAAGCAAAAGTAATATTACCGAACAACTGACGTTTCTAATGGCGTGTAGATGGCACTGTAATGAAATTCCAAATCGGGGCGACCCTTTTCGTAAGCTGTTTTTATTTTTTTATTTAGAATAATTCCACAATAAAGCTGTTGAGCATCGATGTCGAATGTCACGCATAATGTATCGGAAATATGAATTATATTAGATTGGGGGTTAGGTCGTGTAATGGGAGGTTAATGTGGGCGCTCGTGTCGTGCTGGAGGGCACTAAAGTATTACTGCACTCATTACTGCGGTGCCGAATGTGTGCTGTGAGTGGTGGGGCCGCGGCACGAAACCCGATTTCGTGGTGATTTTTAAACGTTGTTTACGTAAATTGGTGCTATCGTCAAATTTCTGGTCCTTTATGGAAGCAATTTCTTTTGTTTTGTTTAAATTGGCAGCTGTGTCAGCATTGAGGACATTTATTGCACATACTGCTTTGCTACCATCCGTTTATATGTTTTAGTGGTATCCCTAATCTTATTATTATCCTATAAATTATTTTCTGTATTAAATATTGGTTGTAACATCGGTGTTAACCCACTGAGTTTTTCGCCGGATCTTCTCAGTGGGTCGCGATTCTGATCCGGTAGTAGATTCAGCGAAGCACTGCTCTTGCTAGGGCTAGTGTTAGTAATTTTCTCAGGATAAGCTCACCTATCGGTCCGCGTGAAGTTGGAATAGTCCCTTAAGCTACTAGGTAAGGGAAGAAAGACCTATGTTTTTATGTCGCAAACTTTTTGAGCGACAAAGTTTCAAGAGTGGGATGTTTGTTATTTAAATGCACCCGAGAGTTTGGTCTTGATCTCTTGGAGGGATTTGAAAGGCGTTGTTGACTCTATTATAACGTTATGTTGTGCATGTACTGTAATATAATCAGATTGATCATGAATTCCTTAATTGTTGGCTGATACTTGTTGTATTTTATGTATTACATACGTCTTAGCAAATATCACAGAATTTATACGTAATCGGTATAATAGAAATTGTTGAACTGCCTGTTAATAATCGTTTGATTTAATCTTATGTTTCTATTGAAGTGTTTCCTGATATTTTAATTTCAAACTTATTATGATAATTACTTTCACTCCGTATTGCATTTAGATACGAAAATTATTCCGCAAAAATTAATGCAAAATTAAAAGGTGAAATTCAGAATTCAGCTTCCAAATAAAATTCGAGGAGACTTTAGTGAAACGTTAAGTGGTTGTCAAACTGATAACTTGGTAAGTAGTTGGTCACGACTGCGAGCTAAGTAGATACAACTTAGTTTGCATAAGGCGCAAAATGCAGCGCTGTTAGCGGCCTGTAACTTGATTAAAATTGTAGTTTTTTTGTTGTTGGAATCCCGCAGGCGGGTACCAATTTTTCTAATGAAATACGTACTCAACAAATATTCACGATTGACTTTCACGACGAAGGAATAACATCGTGTAATAAAAATTAAGCCCGCAAAATTATAATTTGTGTAATTACTGGTGGTAGGACCTCTTGTGAGTCCGCGCGGGTAAGTACCACCACCCTGCCTATTTCTGCTGTGAAGCAGTAATGCGTTTCGGTTTGAAAGATGGGGCAGCCGTTGTAACTATACTGAGACCTTAGAACTTATATCTCAAGGTGGGTGGCGCATTTACGTTGTAGATGTCTATGGGCTCCAGTAACCACATAACACCAGGTGGGCTGTGAGCTCCTCCACCCATCTAAGCAATAAAAAAAAAAGAAGACGGAGCTATGACGGGTAGCCTGCAGGAACGAAATTGTAGCGATTGGAGGGTGTCTGTGTGTGTGCGGGCCGCGTGAGCGAACACCACACTCGCGTAAGTCATGACGGGCCTTATGCAAGTTTTGTAAAGTGTCATCTTGTTAAGCAGGGACATTTTACTCCGCTTAAAGATCATGGGGTAGAGTCTGCCGAGAATAAACGCGGCACGGTCGCTGACTGATTTTGAATGTGGGTGGAATGTCATGGATGCATCCGGGGTGACTCTTAGGTACTTGACCTTCCTGGCCCAGGGGTATGAGTTGGCCGAAGAGGGTCATCGGAAAATAAAGGCACATATACCGAGAAAATAATAACATAAACTTATCTGTTGACCAGATGAACAAATGAGTTATAATTT